TTTGGGAAATCAAAAAAACTTCGGCTTAATGCAATTTCGGCTTAGCATGACTTCGGCTTATCGAGTTTCACTTGTATTTCGATGATGCCCATGTGTGAAAATGGAATAATTCAATTTTGTATTGACTCTGGAGTGACACATAAATCCTCAAAAATAATTACAGTACTTCTCTCAGGTGAAAATGATTTTACGCTAGGGATTTTTTCAGGTGAGATGTATTTAAATCTAATATTTTCGTAGTATGGTGCTCTTGGATCACTTGCAATTACTCCATACATATATCTAACAAATTAAAATGCCCATTTAGGTTCATCCGGGTGGTATCCACAAACTATCAAATCACCACACTGTATATAGCGGGATCCACTCTTTTTTTCTTTATATATACATTCGCCCTTGTCACCAACAAAAAGATTTCTGAGTATATTAGTCTTACCCGTACCACTCCTACCAGTAAATACCTTACTGAAAGGCCATGTTATTGCTGGATGTCCAACATTTCGAAATGATTCATGCTTTGTAGCCTCATCCATATCCATAAGGTAAAGTTTCATAGGTGGTAGGCTCAATGAGCCATTGCTTTGCAATAGTTCTTTCTTTCAGTTTTTTTGTATGGCGGATTGGGAATCCATAACTATGATTTCTATAGATTGGATAAAAAAATTTCTTCTCCCCGATAATTCGCTTCACTTTGTTCGTTCATGGTCGGTTTATATATTCCAGAAAACAAATTGCCGGAGGCGGTCATATAGTGGCTATAATCTGGCTTCGAGTTCAAAGAATGAGAAGGCGGGGGTGGATAAAAAATATTCCTATATATATACCAAATAATTAATATCACTATTATTGCAATAATAACAATTTTAATAATAGGAGGAATTTGATACTTATCATTAACTAAAGCCTCGCCAGCGCATACTGCCCCTTTTATTGTAATATCTTGAATCAATGACTCCGGATTCTGATTATTTGTAATAATTGGTAATGTTTTACTTTTAAAATATTTTGCAAGACTTTTAGATTCAGATGTATCTTTAGAATTCGATATAAAACCTTGTTCCTCATTTTGCATATTTTTTTCCTCACCTATAACTACAGGATCCAATATATCCTTTGTTTTTCTGTGAAGCAGGACATAAAGCGCCTAAACTCTCAATCTCATAAATTTTTGAGGCTAATTCATTCTTTGTATTCGTTAATTCAAACTTGCGGAACGCATCATATTTTAACAATTTCAATGTGCTATTGTTTTCAAGACCTGCAATAAAATTACGATAGACCGATCTGTAACTAGTTTCAGCTGGCAAAAGTGTAAGCGATTGAGTAATGCGATTAACATTTCTACCGGGACTTGGTAGTCCATGAATTTCAGCATAGTTTCGAGAAAATTCTTCACGGCGGTAGCAACGGTTATATTTTGGTTTTCCATCGCGGCACTCGTTTGATATTACCATGAACATGCGGTATTATACCATTCGTCGCTAGATGATCAATTCCCAACATGTTGAGATACGTTTTTCGACAAAGCGGCGTATTGCGATCTCAATAGTAAAAAATTCTTTTATTAGTACGCGTTTTCTTTTTAAGACGTCGACTGGCAGTTATTTCTCCACCACTCATTGCTTTCAGCTGGGCCATTAAAAATATATCTTGTTCGGGTCTAGAGGGAGCTTGAAACGCTTCACGTAACTCGGCAAACTTTTTCTTTTGGAATTCTTTTTGAGTAACCAAAATTGCAACCTATCTCCGAGAAACGTATTATTCAGTGAAACCGTTATAATTATTATTATTCATATACAGGTAATCCTATATATAAATTTTAATACTTTTGTTATCTTTATAACTGTATCAGTATCACACTTTATGCTGCATATGCGACGTTAAATAATTTAATTCTGAGGCGTTTATTTGACAATCAATGAATTCGTTATTCTAAATCTATTTATTTCTTGTAGAATCGATTTACCTTTTAATTGATGCTTATTCAAAACCGATTAACAATAACGTCTAATATTAATCTCACGAATGACGCATAATCTATTGGCATAGCAGCATCCAGAATTACAGATAATGACTGAATACTTTTATTGATAACTTTTATATTGTTACAGTTGGTATATATTTTGTGTGGGAGAGCGATATTATCTTTCGCGTAGGCGTGTTCACCAACCGGAGGATGTTACCAAGCTTGGCTCGTACTAAATAATTAGTTAACTACTCCCTATACGATGTAGTTTCTACTCGATCCGAATAACTATCAAACAACAACAATTTAATAATCGTTGAATCGAAGGGGAATTTTAATTTTTAATTTAATTCAGGCAATCATCGATTTGGTATCCTGGCTAGTCAATATTCCCGTCACTCACTATTATTTACTTTATACGTTTATCAATAAGAAGGATATGAGTCTAAGTTGTGTCGGTATATTGACGCTTCCCGCTATTCGCACCAATATCTTTCGATCTAATCGATAGTCAACTCTAAAAACTTTTAGAAAATGACATTGAATTGACTTCAAAGAGCTTTTTATTACAAAAGGGCTTGCAACTATCTAACGAATATCAATCAGATAATTTTTGACGACCGTATTTCGCGGTCGATTGTGTCAGATATTAGGGCACGTCTAAATTTAAAATCAATTACTGTATATCCTCTTTCTGATTTAACAGGCTTCTCTTTGTTAATAATTCGCTAATAAACAAGCACATACATATACTTTGTTACCTTTTAAAATCTAATGATTGGAGAATCTTTTTGGTATTTTCGTTTTTCTATAGCAGTTCTCAATACTATCATGGGACGCTTTTTAATCAGCAAGTGTGCGCGCTTTTCACTTATTCCATGAATTCCTGTAAGTTGCCAGAGTAATGCATTATTTGCATTCGGTTGGTCCACTGTTCCATAAGAAAAAGTCCTTCCGGCAAAAGGACCAAAGTATGAATTCCAATTATTCACATCCACAACGGCGGAACCCGGAGGGATTATGATATCACTGCAATTTCCAGTTGTATATAGCAAAAAAACATCATGATCTATGTTGGTTGCTTTCCGTCGCTCTTCTTCAAATAGATTTGACACATTCTGTTTTTTGGTTGCTCGAAGCTTTGCCCGATAAACTTCCGTAATTTTTTTATCTGGATACAGATTGATACCACAGAAAACGTCGCCGGAAGGTGCTCCTGCAGCATTAATGACACAGTAGTGACCCTTAAAGACATCAACAGAGCCCTGCTCACACTGTATGATCATAGTTGTATTTTCACTGGACTTTGTATCCACACGATGAGTTGCTCTTATTAATTGTAGTGGCATATTCAAAAATTTGAGTTCACCAAAATTGTGGCGTGCACCATAATGCATGTCACTGAATCTAATAATGTCATTCATTGAGATTTTAGGACACGTATTAGAGCAATAAAATGTTCGAAATGTTGCCAATACTGAGCCCCTGGTGGTATTAATGGGTCGTTCTTGGTTTGCTCTTCCATATAATATGCAAACCGCCAATTTTGGAGCATAGGGTCTTGAGATGCATCAGCCATAATCTAAAGCCAGACGTATGGACAAGACAAGTATCCTGTGGATGAATTACTATCACATTCAAACCTTACTAAACCAAACCTTGATACATCATCAGGATACAAGTTGGTTCTAGGGATATGTTCACTCTTGGCAACACGTGTATGTGCCAATATTGCACGGAGGACAGGTGTAAGCATGGTGACCTGTTGGATCCATTCACAGTATCTATCAGTGAGCATATTTTTCACATTATGTACAATATTCTCAAAGTTACAGCTGTTCAAGTCATAGTCTTTAACTGCAGCCTCTAATGCTTCAATAGCACGTCCATGTCCTCCTTGTTACGGTCGGGAATTAAATGGGGGTTTTGGGAGAGCGATTTATCTTTTCGTGTAGGTGTGTTCGCCGACCGGGG